GACAGGGCCTGAGAGTCCTGGCTCTTGGCCCAGGGTATTGTCCACCTGCAGGGGAGAGGAAGTGTGTGTGCTTGTGTACAGATGGACTGAGAGGAAGCAGGGACACTGCCCAGGCCAGTTAGGGAGAAGGCTTGGGGGTGCTCCATTTTACAGGTAGAAAAGCCTCATGTGAAGCCCAAACCCAAGGTCCCAGGGGAAAGACTGAGGCTGCCCCTGACTCAGTGTCCCTGTCACCAGCCCACTTGGCCTCATCCCCTCAGAATGAAGCTGAGCTCAGGAAAAAAGTACCTGGTGAGTCAGACTGTGCCCCCCCACCACCACCACTATGTCTGACTCAACCGAGGTGATGAGAGGGCAGGGAGAGACTCTGCCCCGTTGTGCCAGGGAGCCCCCTGGGCAATGTGCCCATTTGGGCCACAAGGCAGATCTTTCCAGCAAAAGGGCGGGTTAGCCAGACAGAAACAGGGAGAGCCCAGCCCAGACAGCCAAGGGGAAACGTGACAGGGCTGGTGGGCAGGGAGAGCCGGAGCGAGCCAGCCAGAAAGCCTAGGCAGGACTGGGCTCAGGGTAAGTCAAGGGTAGCTGGAGGTCTAGGGTATGGTGACAGCAAGGAAACTGAGGCACTCAGAGGAGCTGCTTGGAGTGAGGTGAAAGAGCTACAGAACGTACTTATATAGAGAATATATAGTCTGCAATTCTGTAGCATACATGTGTTGCATATCTCCTGGTACCCCTTTTAGGCCAAACTTCCTCAGCTGCCCCATCCTTCTTGACCCAGTAAGTTTGGGCCAGACAGTCCCCAACGCAAGCTGTGTGGTGATTGGAATTTGGGAAGGTTCTGGGACCTTCTCAGTGAACCATTCTATCTTATTCCTCTTCTACCCCCAGGCATCATGAAAAGAAAGAGGACAGTGGGTATCTTTGAGGGCTGTTTCTTCAAGGGCAGAATGAAGGCAATCCCTGTTACAAAGCTCAGAAAGAAGTTCAGGGGTTTTGAGCGGGGCAGTGCTTATGGTAAAAGTAGTCCATGAATGATTTCTTTCCCTTCTCATTAGGTAGGGAGGGGGAGGAGCAGAGAAGGGACCAGAAACAGAAAAGCGACCTGCTGTGTGTGGCTTGGGAGGGGGGAGCTCTGGGGGCCCTGATAGTGACAGGCGAGGTATAAATAGCTTGGGCCCTGCGGCTCATGTTCTGTCGGCTGCCTGTGACGAGGTGCTCAGGAATTCCACTCTCCTATTGGCACCCCCCATCTCCAGAACGCTCATTCCCCCCATGCCACCTTTGTCCCATGTCCAAAACCAACCATCCGGCATCAGTGCTGACCGTCTACTTGAGAGGCCGAGCTCTCTTGTGGAGAGATGCCCAGCTGGAGACACATGACACATAGCTGGGTCTCACAGTGAAGTGTGTGTGCATGTGTGTGCGCGCGCGCGTGTGTGTGTGTGTGTAAAAAGGTAGACATTTGCTACCCAGTCTGAGGTGCCCAGCTCAGGGTTCAGCGAGGTTGTCTTTGAAGCTCTGATGAAGAAACTGAGGTACAGATCTGAGACATTTCTCCTGCGGAGGAGAGACAAGGGTAGGGTGGGTTTGCTGGGAGCTGACAGCCTCTTTACAGACTCTAATGGCTCACAGTCCTGTTTTGTGGGCATTACCTGAGGTCCCCCAGTAAGTTAAGGGCGTCTCTTAAGGAGGGGGGATTTCAGAGGGAAGCCAGTGAGTGAGGAAAGAACTCCCAAGTATAGCCTCCCCCCCTCTCCCTCCCCTCCCTTCTCTCTTCCCTCTCTCTCTCCCCCCTCTCTCCCCTCTCTCTCCTCTCTCCCCCCATTCTCCTTCCCTCTCTGCAAGAGAGGTCTGTGTGTACGGCTCCAGGGGAGTAAGTGAGTGGTTTGGCAGACAAGGGTGCCCAGTGCCCAGGATGGTTCCCAGCATCCTTCTCACCCCCTCCCACAGAAACCCGAACCTGTTGCTCTCCAGGATAAATCGGGGCCTGACTCAGGCCCCAGCCAGCCAGTCACAGTCAGCCTGACCCAGGCGCAGGCTGGTGACTCAGCCCTCAATATAGCCCATGAGCCTGGCCCAGCCATGAAAGCTGGAACAGACCGTGCACAATGCTGGTCCTGGGGCCTGCCAAGTGGGGCCCCCTCCCTGAGGAGGGCTGGTGTGCTCCTCCCTGAGTCAGGCAGGGGCACAGAGAGGATTTACAGGGGGTTTCATCAGCTGAGTATTTGGGGCAGTGCTGGCTGGGGCCACAGGCCTTTTATAGCCCCCTGACTCACCACCCACTGACCTGTCTCAGGAGACCAGGTTGCCTGGCAGTTCACCTGGCCCTGCCTTTCCTGTCAAGGGGCACTGCTTACCAGCCACCGACATTGGCCAGATTTAACTTGGGCTGAGCAGAATCGAAGTGACCAGGTCTAATGGGCCATGTTTGAGAATCTTGTTTTCCTGGAGCCAGGGACATTTCCATAGTCACCTGGGATGATACCAGGTTGGCCAGGCTCATAGTTGGCACTTTGATCAATCAGTGATACTGACTGTGGCCCTGATTTAGGTGCCAGGGGCTCAGCAGTAGGCTAGAAAGAGTCAGAGGCTGAATTCCAGCCTCTTCACTTCTCTTGCAACCTTGGGCAGGTAATATAATGCTCTCGGGCTTTGGTTTTCTCCTCCGTAAAATGGAGTTAATAGTACCTTCATATGTTGTTTTGTGTGTGTGTGTGTGTGTGTGTGAGAAGATGAAAGGAGATAACATGTGAAGAGAGACCTCTTTACTCTGGCAACAGTGTGTCAACAAGACCAGGAGGCACAAAGCCCCCAGTGATGAAGAGGATGGCTTTCTAAAATGAGCCAACAGGGGCAAGTGTCCTAAAGGGAAGAGTTCTGTATTCTAAGCAAAAAGGCTGGGGAAAGGCAGGACCACCTTCCTGCCGTTGCTCAGGCTCTAGGCTCAGGCCTGGGAAGGAACAGATAAAGTCTCAGCTGGAGGCTGACTGCCTACCAGACCATGACCTCCATCTTGGCTTCTAATTCCAAGTTAAATCAGTGATCCTCACTGGTGGGTAATCTTCCAGTCCTTTCCACCGCGCATGTTCTCCAGCCAACTGGTGGCTGGAGTAAAGTGGATAGAAAAAACCACAAACAAACAAACAAAAAACAGGGTCTCACTACACTCAACAGCAAGGGGCCAGTGGTACTGGGTGGCTTGTGAAGGCATAGCTCCAATTTAGGTTACAACTGAGAACACACCACCTAACATAACTGAGTGTAGTTCTTCTCTAATTTTACTGTGCATACTAATCAACTGGGGATCTTGTTAAAATGCAGATTCTGTGTCAGTAGGTCTGAGGTGGGGCCTGAGAGTCTGCCTTTCTAACAAGCTAACAGTGCTGATGCTGCTGGTCTGTGGACAACAGAGTAGCAAGGGGCTAGGCCACCCTAAACCAGTACTATCTTCAAAGAGAAGTCATTTAAAGGGAGGCAAAAGGAATCCGTAGCACTGCCCTCAATCTGCCTAGGTGCAGCCCTGTTTATAGGGACTGGTCACGATTTTAGCACTGGCCCCAGACCCCCTAGGAAAAGGCCAGGCAAGAAATGAATTCATTTAATGCTTAGCAGGGCCCACCACAGTGCCTTATTCTATAGGTATGTGTGGCTTTGGATTATTTGGGTGAATGGAACAAACTCCCTGGCATCAGGTAGAAAAGAGGCAGAGAGAAGGGTTCCAGGAAACCAGCAGTCACGGCACTGTTTTGCCCACTGTGGCTTATGAATACACTCAGCGGCTCTCCTATGGAAACATTCATATGGAACAACCAATCACGAGGGGTTCCACAGAAATGAAGGTAAACAAGGACACTCATAAGTTATCCTCATCATTCTGCTTGTCCCCACTTTGATCCACTCTCCATCCTTTGCCCTGCTCTCAATTCCAGCAGACTGACTTTACGTCACTTGGGCATCTCTGCTCTCTGGCTCCCAGCTGGGATTAGCCAATGAGAGGTGCCAACAGGAAACTGGCAGGTGGGAAGAGAGGGTGTCAGGCTCTGACAAGGGTTGTACCCTGCCCCCCCGTGGGTCTGGGGTCCCTTCCCAGGCCTCTAGCCCTCGCTTCCTCCCCAATCTCCTTCGGGCCGAGGATGGGAGACACTGTTGCTGGTGCCTGGGGACTTCACTATTCCTTGCTGGTTCTCCTAACTCTGCCCGTGTGAAGGGAGTCCCTTCACTAAACACTCCTCAAGTTAAAGCTCCTGAGTGTGCCACCTATTCACTGCAGGACCCTACATGATTAGTAAGTCCTCTCTGAGAGCGAATCCCATGGGGTGTCACAGGGCCTAAGTCACGAAGGCTCATGTGCATGCAGATCTTCTCAGGGCACTCTTCTCACCGCAGATGGGTGTGGGTCATTTGACCCCCCTCACAGAGAGTACCCAGCTCATTCCATTGCCCTGTGCTCGGATGAGCTCCTGGAGACAGGGTTTCTAGGTGCAGACCAGCGCATCTGTGATCCGGCTGGCAGCACAAGGAGCCCCCCTCATCTCTGAGGTCATCTGTAGGGTGAGAAATCGTATTTAGGAACCAGATCCTTATGTGAGGTACCTGGTTAAAGAGGAACCGCTCTGCTCCGGTTGTGCTGTGAGGTATTTATAAGAAATAAAGAGCCACAAAGTCTCAGGTAATTAGGCTGATATTTAATCACACGGAACCCAGGTTCTTATACAAGGCAGGAGATGGCAGCCGGCAGCGCCCCATAACCTTTCCAGCCTGGGTGACTGAGGCTAAGGAGATGGGGACACATGGGACACATGGGTGGGGTGGGGGCTCTGGCACAGTGTGTCCTGCCCAAAGCTGGGGGTAGTGGCCACTGGGGATCTGCCCCCTCGGCTGGCCCAGGTCTGCCATCACTCCATGAGGCAGAACTCGGACTCCTGCGGTCGCATGCTGGGTAACACATACAGAGCCACAGCCGCAATAGCCAAGAACACCACAGGCTTCCACATCCCAAACATGTTCTGTGGGGACCAAAGACAAATGGTGAGTGCCCGGCCTTCCAAACCCTTCCCTAAGCCAGAGGCTCCCCTGTCTACTGGCACTGGAGAGACATCGGGAACCTCACGGTCTGGTCTCTCTCACCTCCTGGGTAACTGCCGGAGACAATGTGGTCTTAGTGCTGGCGGTGCGAGGTACCTGGAACAACGCTAGGTGTACCACCTGAGGGGACTGCGTGTATTCATGCCCAACGGAATGAGAATACCAGTTCCTGGGTGTAGAAGCGAGCTCAGGAGGCAGACCAAAGAGTATCCAGATGGTTGCAACGAGAAAGGATCAAGTGCCACGGCAAGAAAAAGAGGGTAAACTGGGGCCTTTGGGAAAAGCAGCAGTGCCTCGTTGGCTTTACGCAGGAGCAACAAACTCAGTCAAAAGGAGAAGACTGAGGGGGAAGTAAAGAAAGCACACCCCAGAGTGCAGGCGAACCTGAGGTTCGTGGGCAGCCCAAACCTTTTCTGGACAATGATGTTGGTTCGAGGAAGCTCAAGGAAGCCGGTCACCGGCCCCGGAGACAAATGCCTTAAAACACCCCTGGGCACCAGTGTGTTGATGGACTTCCTGGCAAGTGCCAGTGCGCTGAGGCTGCCAGACTCTGCTGACCACAGCAAAGCCTGCTGATTCGTGGGACAACAAAGAAGCATCCTTCAGGGAACACGAAATCGTGGACAATACATACTTAGGGAAATCGTTCCCATTGTTATTACTTTTTTTACTGTACTACTTGAAAGACAGAATTTGGGCTGAGTCATAAGCTATGGCATAATGACAGGAGGATGATTTTAGGTAAGAGCGGAGTATAGTACTGATGCTAAGAATGCATTTGCTCAGAGAATAATGGAACTAAAAAGAGGACTTTAAGCCAGCTATAAAGAGCAAAGAAGATCTCCTACATTTGTAGAAATAGTTACTAAAAAGAGCAGCACAAATGAAATGGAAAGCGAAACAATGCTGGAGGTGGATATACAGAGTAATTTATACAAGAAAGTAACTGGAAAGGAAGCTAGAAAGGGTATCTACACGCTTAGATGCTTATATCCTAATGTACACTGCTAAAAATGTTGTCAGTCTGGTGTTCTTAAAGAAGGACAGAGCGGGGTGCCTGTGTGGTTCAGTTGGTTAAGCATCTGACTCTGATTTCGGCTCAGGTCACGACCTCAGGGTGGTGAGATCCAGCCCAGCATTGGGCTCTGTGCTGGGTGTGGAGCCTGCTTGGGATTCTCTCTCTGCTCCCCCTTCCCCACTTAAATAAATTAAATTAAATTTTAAAAAAAGGACAGAGCGGGTGCCTGGGTGGCTCAGTTGGTTAAGCGATTGCCTTCGGCTCAGGTCATGATCCTGGAGTCCCAGGATCGAGTCCCGCATCGGGCTCCCTGCTCAGCAGGGAGCCTGCTTCTCCCTCTGACCCTCCCCCCTCTCATGTGCTCTCTGTCTCTCTCATTCTCTCTGTCTCAAATAAATAAATAAAATCTTTAAAAAAAAAAAAAAAGGACAGAGCTAGACCCATAAATGTGAACTGATACGCTTTATACCAGTCAGAGGCATGTTCCAGACTGGCTGAGGGCTGGTCCCAAAGGGGTAAGTCACATCAGGCTTTCCTTACAGACTAGGTTACTAAGTTGACAGATCAAAGAAATGTTTTTGGATTTTATCAACACATCCGACAGATTTTCCATGATCTCCTTGGACAGAACAAGAGGAAATAATCAGCATGGTAGCACACACAGGTTGCTGTGTGACCATTTGCCATGTGACCAATGAGCTGGATAAAAGAGAGCCTGGAGAGACAACACTCCAGAGGGTCGGCCCTCCCCCTTAATGTGCACTAACAGGGCGCCTGGCTGGCTCAGGTGGAAGAGTATGCGACTCTTGATCTCGGGGTCGTGAGTTCAAGCCCTATGTACGGGGTAGAGATCACCTAAATAAGACTTCTAAAAAAAATAATGCACACGAACATATGAAAGTAGGCTGGTTGCCCTTGAGGAGGATGTGGAGCTGGCAGGGAAATGGATAATCGGAAACCGCAAGGTCAAGATTTAAAAAAAAGAAAAAACCAACTCCACAGGTTACATCAATGGACTATACCGAATAGGAATGAGTAAAAAATTCTGCCTCAGATCCAAAAAATCAATTGCAGGTAGAAAACGGGGAGAGGATACTTAGCATATGCAATACGCAAAGGGGCTTTATAAACAACACACGCAGAGAGTTAACAACGTGACATTAGTTGTCAAGAGAGCTAATGCCCCTGGGGGCTGTGTGAAGAGAAGTACGCAGTCTTCCTAATTACATGGAACCAACCAGGGAAAACTGCTCAAAATGAGGAGAGATGGGAAGGGGGAGGCAAGGTTGGAATTCTAGCTGTTGCTAATATTAGTCCTTAGAAATCAATTCATAATTCACTGGCGGTATTACTTGACCTCTCCATGCCTTAGTTTTATTACATATAAAATCATAATAAAAGCCACCTCGTTGGGTTGTTGCAAAGATTAAATGAGTTTATATGTAAGGTGATTAGAACAGTGCCAGGTACATAGTATGTATGCTGTAAGTATACGCTTTTTAAATTATTTATGGGGTGTTTTATTATTTATGAAGAACCTTCATAAACATGAACTCCTGTGATGGTCACATGAGGAAAGCAGAGATTTTACCATTCTTCACTGTCATTTGAAGAAACTAATGTTTCCGTTATGCATTTTGCCCACTGGGACTAAGCGGTAAGAGGCAGAGACAGACTGGGCCAGGTTCTCACCTGTCAGCCACGCTTTCTACAGAGCTACGCTGCCTCAGCTCCTGGACTGGGAGCTGCAGAGTGGGGCACAGCCCGACCCCCCAAGAGCACCCTGACCCAGGAGCTCCTTCCTCTCACTCTGTGTGGGCCTGGCTGAGGTGCAGAAAGGTTATGGCCAAATGCTTTGGGTCTCCTCCCCTAGGGGCTGAGAAATCTGGATGTGGACAGTACAGGGATAGGGACCCTGTCACTAAAGGAGGTAGACTATTTGTGGGGAGTAAGTGGAACACCTTAAAGAGGAGAAAGGATGAAGAGGAAAAACAGTGAGGGGAGAAGGAAGGAGAAAAGGATGCTGCTAAGTGCTACCAACATATGCTTCAGCTGCCGCCCCAACCCGTGCATTAAGCCAGCGGCACTTCATTTGCAGGGGTGAGAAGGGAGGGTGGGAAGTGGGGGGGGGGTGGGCAGGGGAGCAGGAGAAAGGAGCCAGAACAGGCCAGGAGAGAATAGTTTATGGGTTCCAAAGACAGGTGGAACCCTAGGGCTCTACCCTGGGACCTAAGACCACATTCTGCCTCCTAAATTTGGTATCCTGTTGACAGACCAGATTACATGGGCCGAGGCCAAGTGGAAGATGCCCAGAATATGTCAGCCTTGGCGCCCTGGGAATACCTGCATCTCTTTCTTTTCACCAGTACCACATTATGTCTAAAAAGCCTGGCTTGGGAAGGCAATTACAATAGAGTCTGGACCCCAAAAGGGATAAACATAGAACTATAAAATATTTCCTGGCATTCTGGTTCTGAGTTGTCTGAAGACCAGAAGTCCCAAACCAGAGAATTTCTCCATTGAAAGAACACAATATGGTAGGGGTTTCTGTTCCATTTTCGCCAAGTCTGGAGGACAAATTGAGCCTGCCCTCATACAAATGCCCCTGGTAAGGGAGTTAGGGTTGGGGTTGGGAGTTGGTCACAACACTCCGGAATTCCTCTCTCACCCAACAGGGGAGGCGCAGTGATGCCTTATTTTGCCATCCTGGGTGGTGACAGTAGTGAGAGCAAAGAGCACTCAGGTCAGCCTTGCAGACAGACATCAGCTCATCAGAAGTGGTCAGGCATTTTTCAAAGTAGCAACAGTGCTGGGATCATCCAAAGTTTTCCCAGCCAGAGGACAGAAACTCAAACCGTGTCAACAGTATGCATTCCAACTCACTATGTGTTAGGAAGACGCTCAGAGGTGCTATGGGCTTTGCAGTAGCCCAAGGAGAAGCCAGGGCTAAAACTCAGCCCCTGAGTATCCTGTTGTCAAAGGGCTAAAAGCAAGAAGCAAGCAAGTGAGAGAAAGGGCAAAGAGGAGAGGCCAGGGCCACCTGCACCCTCCCTCTACCCCTCCAAAGGAGAGGACTCGATACCAGTACCTGTGTTAGGACGACGTCTCGGCCCACCAGCACCAGAGCAAAGCCGATATGACCACCAGGGCTACGAGAGGCAAGGAGAAGATGGGGGGCTCAGGGGCAGGGGATGGCTGCAACATATCAAATGAGAAGGAAGCACAGGGAGAGGCCAGGAGATGGGGGGGGGGGGGGGCGGATATAAAAAGACAGAAACACATGAATCCAATGGATAATGAAGATGAGAAAACAAAGGGAAAAGAGAAAGAGATCAAGAGGTTAAACAACAGGCAGTGAGGGCAGCCGTATCTCTCCTCTGCGCCCGGGCCTGGATCTTCCCACTGGCAGCCTGTGGAGGATACAAACCTGAATGGGTTAAGCAGCTGCTTAGGTCCAAATCAGGTGGGGAGGCCAATCTGCTGGCTGGCCATATCCCTCTCATATCTTGTCAAGCAGGGGTGATCTGCCCTAGACCGTTCGTACAGGTCAGTAACTCTGGAAAAGGGAAGCTCCGAGAGTAAAGCCGGGCTCTCTGGATGAGGAGGACGTATACTTCTCCTGGGTCACTCAGTCTCCTGCCAGGCCACCCGCCCCACCCCCCAGCCCCCATTAGCCCACTTTTTCTGGCTGCTGTCCACCGAATCTCAGTTTTCTGGGCCCTGGCCCCTATGATCCCCTAGAGTCTAACGCCGTTGTTGTGAGACAAAATGCACTCCAACAGGCTAACAATGGAGAAGTGCTAGCTCTTTGACTGCAACAATCTTCCAGAGAGAAAGTGAATTCGCAGGCAGTAACATACACCATTAGAGCTGCCTGCAAAAGACGCAGGACCTGCCGAGGCAAAGGGACACCTCCGTATGTAGACACAAGGAACGCGCTCAACTTCGAAGTACAAGGATCCGGTCTGGCGTTTAGAGATGTTGGCACCCAAGGCAAGGAAATTGAGGAGGCTCTGAGCCAGCATGCGGTGGAATATGATGAATTCGAAGAAACAGAGCACTGGGGAAGAGGCTGCGGTGGCTCCTACTTTTTACATCCTAAGTAACGGTCCTCTGCCACAAGGTTAACAGAGACCTACATGCTAGATCCCTAGCCACTGCTGCAGACTGAGCTGCCGGAAAATGCCAGATAGCCTTAGAGCTGACTGGGACATCCCACCACAAGAGACTTATTTTCTTCCCCGGTGTTTAGAAAGATGGAAAGATGGAGCGCCTGGGTGGCTCAGTCAGTTAAGCGTCTGCCTTCGGCTCAGGTCATGATCCCGGGGTCCTGGGATCGAGCCCCGCATCAGGCTCCCTGCTTGGCGGGGAGTCTGCTTCGCCCTCTCCCTCTGCCTGCCTCTCTGCCTACTTGTTCTCTCTCTCTCTCTGTCAAATAAATGAATAAAATCTTTAAAAAAAAAAAAAAGAAAGAAAGAAAGATGGAAAGAGCCTGTACCATAAACCGAGGACTCATTCAGGAAGTACTCACTCTTCAGGGAATCAGAGCCCCCAGTTAACCTCAACTAGAGCAGGAATTCAGCTGGTACCTACCTGTGCAGATATACTAGTAGTTAAAATACAGAAATACTTTTGTATGGTTGGCACGTTACCCAGGATACTCCCAACCCAACCTCTCAAGATCTAGCCACTAAAGCGTTAGGACTCTGGTTGCTCTCCCCAGACTGGCCCACGCCCCTGCTGTGCGGACTAAAATATTCTATTACTTCTGACCACCCCCAGCCCCTCCCCTCATGCCCTGTAATACACAGAACCCGAAAGCCACACCTGCCCCCCGAACACCCCTAACAGCAACAACAAAGGTCAACCTAACAGGGCACCTCGAGGAGGCAGGACTGAGTGACTAACACAGGCTGGCAAATAGCCTGAAGCGGGCCTCACACCATCCGTGTCCTCAGTGCAGTGCTAGGTGAAGGGGGGAAGACCTCCTGACTTAAGGAGCGAGGGCTGCCACAGAGGTGAAAGCAGGCAGGACTGCAACGGCCCCAGAAAAGGTGATCTTTGAGACACAGGTAGGTCCACAGCAGTGGTCTCAGCCCGCCATTTCCCGTAGAGAGCCCACTTCCACCACTCCCGGCTCCATCTCCACTCTCCCCGAACGCTAGGCCTCAGGGCTGGCTGGCCTATACGCTCCTGCAGAAGTCCATCCTCGGGCTGGGTCACCCCGCCACACCAGGGCACCGGAGCCCCAGAGCCCACTTCCCACTCGGTCCAGCCTTCGACTGCGGTTACCTTTTTGCTCTCAGAAAGCTTGAGGGGGTTGTTTCCCTCTGAAGCTTCAGGGCAAGTGTCGTTGGCGCTCTCATCTTTGGTGTCGTCTTCCTTGCCCTCCCGCTCTTGGGACTCTTCATAACACCCCTCCTCTGCTTTTGCGGACTTAATCTCCGCAGGCTCTGACGGCACAGAAACCAGTTCATTGCAGGAGTCCTGCTTCGAGTCCTTTTTGATTTCCTCCTCTTCCTCCTCCACTTCCTCTTGTATTAGGACACCTAAGTCCGTGTGGCTGGCCTTGTAGTACAGCACCACCTCCAGGCTCTGTGGGTGGAGGCAGGGCAGGACGGGGGCTGCGGTTACCGCCAGGAGGCCTACCTGCGCGAGAAGCCGGACTACCTCAAGGGCACTCTGCTTCCCGGCCCGGCACGGCCCGCAGGCAGCACCGCGTTCTGGCACCGAGGCTCCCCCTGAGCGTCGTGTGGGCAGTCACGCCCAGCCTCTCGAGACCCACACGGCCATCCGGCCGTTGGCCGTCTCGGACAGATACCAGAGCTAGAATCTTGGGCTCTGCCCCTCAGCTGCCGCCTCCGACCCCTGCAAGGCGGCTACGACTCCTATTTTCTCCCCTCCTCCTCACGTAGGAGTCCGCCACCGCTTCGAATTAATTCCTTCTTTTCATCCATTTGGTCCCTCTCTTGGGCACATAACCCAGGAAGAAAAGGGGCCCCAGGAGATTGGGCTGAGCTAATTGGAGCCGTCGTCCATCCTAGGGGCTATGGTCCTTTGGGGCTGTGCCCCCAGGTATAAGTGGTCTGTGTTCCACTCCCCTTACCTTCAGAGGAAAAGGAAGTACGGAATTGCTACCAAGAGAGATCTACTCTAATACACGAGAGAGACCAGAAGCTTCTCTACAAATACCTCACCTGGCCGGAATGGTGGTGGTGGTGATTTTTCTTCCCAAGATCTCCTCTGCCTTTCTGCTTATCAGGCTACTAAGGTTATTACTCACCTTTTCGTTCTCATAGCAGCCCTCAGAACCGTCCAGGCTTGGTTTGGTCACCTTTTTGTTTTTAACCCCGTTGGCATTTTTGTTCCTATTCTCATTGCCACTTTTCCCCTTGGTCTCTCTGGGAACAGAGGAATTCTTCTCCTTGAGCTGGCGGAGCTCTTCCTGGCAGCACTGCAGCTGGCCCTCCAGCTGCTCCTGCACGGCCAGAAGCCGCCCCTGTTCATCCATGCTCGCCTGGTACTGCAGCTGCAGCTCCCGCAGCTTGGCCTGCAGCTCTTTGATCTGCAGGGGGCGGGGGGGGGGGGTTGGGGGCGGTGCGGACGGCCAGTCACCCACAGCCCGGCCTGGGGGTCACTGCCTGAGTCTGCCCTGCTAAGGCCCATGGGGGAGTAGATAAGAGAGGAAACGTTAAATTGCAGGATACGAGCCTCTAAAGCGGTTTCAGAAATAGCTTCTAAATGAGGTACCTGATGATTTACACCTAATGGGATCAAAAAAGGATGATTTAAATTATGTTTTTACTGGGATCTGTCTGGGGAATAACTATAGAGCTGCCCCTTCTGAAGCTCAGGGCTTTATTATGGACGTCTTTTTGATGGAAACTCCTACTTCGCCCAAGCTATTTCTCTAACAGGTAACAACTACCTAAGGAACTGTGTGGTCCCACTCCTGAAAGTGTGCCTGGGCTCCTGCAAACCTCACCCTGGAAACAGGCAAATTCCAACCCTGCTCCCTAATTTCTGGTTTTGTCTTCCCTGACTTCTAGCATCACAGTCTCCCTGGTAGGTAACAATACTAAGCAACCGAGGCCCCCGGGCTGACTGTTGTCTGAACTCTCCCATGCATACACAGTGAGTCCCGCTGGACTGTGGACTACTCTTGGGCAGGAAGAATGCCTTCTGTCCCATCCCTCATGGACACAGAGCACCCTTCTTGGCATTATAAGGGATCCAAAAGGAGGCAAGGCTCTGCCCTCGAGGTACTTACAATCTAGTAGAAGAGACAAGTACACCAAAAATAACTAAAGGTGAAAAAATACAACTCTATAGAAGTGCTCTGGGACACAGCAAAAGAGGGAAGTGGTAAAAGGAAAAAGAGAAAAATTATTCAGAGTCTTGATGATGAGTATATCTCAGCACATTGAGCATGTGAGGACCGTCCACCAGTGCTGTGGCAGAGTGCCCAGCCTCCTGGGGTTCAGCCCCTGCTCTGTTCCTCTGACCAGGAAGGGGGCAACTATGCAGAGCAAGCAGTGAGCTCCCGGGCCTCCTTCCTCAGCCTCTCCGAAATGGCTAGGACCTATGACCTGCTCTGGCTCTAGGGACTCCTGGAAGAAACCTTGCCTCCCACATAGCAGTTACCTCGTTCTTGTCCTTGTTGTTTGGGGAGGCAGCGGGCTTCTCAAGGCTTTCCATGCATTTCTTGAATTCCTTTTCACAGGCGACCAGCTCTTCCTTCAGCTCTTTCTGCCTGTCCAACAGCTTTTTCATCCGGTCTTGCAGCCGGTCATGTTCCTCCTGGCTGAGCTGGTACATGGCCTGCACCCCCTGTAGCTTGATCACCACCCTGGCGACTACATCCTCACAGTGCTGCGGAGGGTGGAGGAGTAATGACCGCACCCTGAGAAGGACCTGCCCTCCGCCCCACTCTCTTTGCTAGGCCCCATCCTGAGTATAGAACAATGGCGGCAAGGATCTGAAGCTGCGCTGGGGCTAATTCTGTGTTTCTTCCCATAAAGCACCATCGCTGTGATGGGAGCATCTCCATATTAGACAGGCGGATTGCCTCATTCATTTCCGGGGACCCAGCTCAGCTCTGACCCTGCCGCCCACCTCACTTCTTGCACCCTTCCCTGGTGACTCATCCCTTAGTAAGACAAGAGGCTCTGCTCCCTGTCCGACTCTCCTCTGGCTCTGTTACCTCGAGGTCTTCAGGCTCGGCAGGTCCCTCATTAGTGCTGCTGCCGTAACTCCTGTAACAGGTGTCCGAGCTGGTGCTGCTGCCGTAGCTCTTCTTATAGATGCTGCTGCCGCTGCTGCCGGCGCAGTAGCTCCTCTCGCTGCTCTCCTGGGCACTGCTGCTGCTGTCATAGCTCTTGAGAAAGCTCTCGGTGCTGGCCTGGGTGCTACCGTAACTCTTGTGATAGCTCCCGCTGTCATCGAGGCCGCTCCCGGAACTCCTGCGGCAGTTCTCGCCGCTGGCGGCCATGCTGCCACGGTTCTTCTCCAAGCTCATTCTGCTGGAAGGGGACCGGACCTGGAGCAGCTGCATTTCTTCCAGGCAGAGCTGCAGGTCGGCCTGCAGCCTCTTCCGCTCCTCGAGGAGCCTGCCCTGCTCCCGCTGCAGTAGCTCCTGCTCGGTCTGCGTGCCCTCGTAGAGCACCTGCAGCGCCTGCATCTGGGCGATGATCAGCTTGGACTGCCAGGAGTGGGTGAGGAGACATTACCATTACTCCAGACGCTGCCGTCCTTCTCGCCGCACCCCTCCTGGAGCAGATGTCTGCGGGCACACTTCAGAGACCTGCACACCTACGCTCCAGTCTCACCACAGCCTAGGTCTTTAACCGCCTGCAGCTGCTGGCATGTCAGTTACTTGCTCGTTGGGGAAAATCTACCCCGGGCAGATAATTCTGCGATTTCTAGGCTCCCATTTCAGCTGGTTTCTAAACTCTGGTACATCCCTCTCTCCTTGCAGCAGAACTGAGTGATAATCGAGAACACTCTGGCTCCCTACCCTACCCTCTTCTCAGTCAGGATATACCCATTATCCTGACCTTGGGGCTCAGTCCCCGACCCCGCCCCCCATTCTAAAATCAGCCCCGGCCCTGAATGTGAGCCTACAAGAATGCCTCCCTCAGATGTGGACCTGGAATTAAGGTCTCACTACAAGTCCCTCTACCTCCGGTCCCAACTCTGAATCTGGCCTCTAGGCATGTTTCCCAGGCCCTCTGCGCCTGGCTTCTTGGCTGCTAATGCCCAGGATGAGATCTGATCGGTTAAGGAAAGAGTTCTACCTAGTTCCTGGTCTCTGTGTTATCCAGGCTGAAATCTGATGCCTCTGGAATCTGACCAAATCTCAGTTTGGATTTCTGCAATTCCCTGATTCTCCCTATCCAGGCTAATATTTGAATGAATAGGGCTAGCCTTAAATTGAAACTGTCTACCTGCTCTTCCTTGCCCACCCTGAGACCTCAGACCAAATGCATTCCCCAACCCCAAACAGACTTATCAGGAAATCTCCACCAGTGTGACCTCAGAGGCATAACCCCTTCCTGGTGCTTGTGATGCATGGATTCTCTAGTCTAACCCTCTTGACCTGTTATTGCCACCAAAGTTCCAATGAAGACAGTGTGGCCAGTACCATTAATGCCACAGGCTAGGAATTCTTCCCTTGGAAACGAATGGCCCCAGATTTGTCTCAGGTAGAACCCCGGAAGGTTATAGATTTTGATCACTGAAGGTGTACTGCTTAATTATCAACCAGCTCATGAGAAAAGGATGACATGCTCAGAGTCCGTCCCAAGGAATCCAGACAAACACTAAGTTGCTATTATAAATCTGGAAAATGATGTTGAAGGGGCTGCATCAGATTATCAGGTGATTAGATTCCCGGGTCACCCTGATCCATCCTCGGTGTTCACAGCACTTCAACTGGGCATGTATCTGATTGAGATCCTCAGCCCATAGCTAAAACCACATTTTCATGAGCCCATGGGTGGTCATGGCTGAAGAAGGGGGCCTTAGTCTCATCCTACTCTTGGCCAGACAGGCCTTCCTAACTCTGAGCCTTGCATGGAGCCCTCTTCCCTACCATGCTATTGTCCCCAGAACTGTCTCCCTGCCTCTTGCTCTGTTACCTTGTCGTGACCACACTTGGAGGACTTAGGTGATTTGGAATCGTTGGGATTCTCCAACACATCCCGGAAACGAGACATTTTGAAAAGATGCAGCTCTTCGTGCAGATCTGACTGTTCTTTGAGCACACTTTCTTGACTCTGTACCAGTTTTTTCTGCTCTTCCTGCATACCTTGGTAGAACAGCTGTAGTTCACACAGGTCTTGTAACTTTGTAAGTAGCTCCTGACTCTGCGAGGTGGAGTGGGAAGGAAGCGGGCAGGAACTGTGGTAGTTACGTGGGAAGACCCATGCCTCCTTCCTGCTGGGGACCCTTCCCTTAGGAGTCTCTGGGTTGGCTCTAAACAGCCATCTGGGACAGGGTCGGTGTGGCGGGGGAATGGTCTTTCTATGGAGACCCACTAGGTGAGTAGCCACGATCTCGTATGTTTGCAGGTATTTTGTAGTTTACAAAGTTCTCTCAGAGTATATTTTCTCCAGAGGGACTAAAAATCTAAAGAGAAGATGCTGGACAGATTCCAGAGTATGCTATGTGTTTTAAGACTTAAAACCCTAATCAGCTATATGGAACTTTTTGGTTTGAAGAGATCAGTGACAAAGTAAGGAGGGGCTGATGCAGAAAAGAAAAGGTTCGATTCCAACCCCGTTCTTTTTCCCAAGTATAGTCACACCTCGGAAGCTTCTCAAAGCAGCTTCTCCCTAGTTAGCAGCCGTTCCCTGGCTGGGGTTACCTTAGGGAGGAGCCCAGCTTTGGGTAGCGGGAACGTGAGCCTGTGCAGCTCTTCTTGCAGCTGCCCCTGCTCCTCCTGCATCCTCCTCTGATCCTCCAGGAGCTCGCACTGCTCCATCTGCAGCTGCCCCATCTCCTTCTGGCTGGCCTTGTACTTTTCCTGCAACTCTGTCAGTCTGGACAGCAGTGTGTCACACTGTGGACGGGGGAGGAGGGAGTTGCGGAGGGGCAGTTACTCTGTGAGGCACTGCTCTGCACCGTCCAGCTGGCAGAGCCCTTCTGTGCTCTCCTGCCCTTTGTGGTTCAGCAGGGGCTCCCACCCTCTACAGCCCCCTTGGACTGACCATCCCAAGCCACACTGCACCCATACAGGTTTAGACACCTGAACATACAATAACGGGAAACCCCGGCGGGCCGCTCAGGACTGTTTGGCTATGCTGCAAATTTCATCTACTGGTCCCTTCTGAGAGCCCTGTGAGGGGAGTGTTACCAACGCCCCTCCCTTCTCATGACCCCACCTTCCTTTCCTTTGGCCCTTCCCTGTGGTACACACCGTTCTCCGGCCCTGCTGGGAGTTCTAGTTCCTGTCACTGTCATCATCCCCAGTTGGTTTTATACCTAATTATACTCCTTACCAATAAAAACGTCACCCGATTTGTCCTCATTTTTGTTTTCATAATCATCTTTTTAAATCTCTAGAAAAATATGGGCTATTGCTGAATTTGGGTTGAGAAGACTAAATTATCCCATGATTCCAAGAACCCAAACCTTCTAATATCAAACTCATCTCCATGCTGTTTTTAGGACAAGAGGAAAAGCTGGCTCCGTGTCAGCATGCTTCTCCCTCCCCACAGTCTCTTCTACTAGGAGAGGAGCGGATGAGCAAGTCATGGACACTCTGGCCTCTAAGCTGAGCGGGAACAGAAGAAGGAAATGTGAGCCTGGATGTAGAAAGGCAGGTGGACTGTTGGGAGTGGTCCAAATAACCTCCCCATTCTGGGTCTTCAGAAGGCCTTTCCCCGGGGACACAGCCTGCTGCTGGCTGTGGTAGGAGTCACTGAGGATTTGGGCAGAAGGTGACTGGCTCCTCCATCTTTTGAGAATCTCGTGCCTTTTCTCCATCATGTTTCAACAACTTCCATTTCCTATCAGTGATCAGGAGCTGAAAGTGCTCAACACAGGGTAACTGATAATGACTTTTTACACACTATGGGAAAAAAGAAAATGAATAAGGAAGGCCTTACTTATCACTACTAGGATTTATTACTACAAGCAAGTGAGAAAAGAATAGTATTCTGTTCAATTTAAAGAGGGTAGAACTCAAGCTTAAAGAACTTCACTCTTCCGAAGTCACAGAGTAAACCCTGGAAGAACTTAGGTCCTTCTAATATCCAATCAGCACTCTAGGCACAAGACCATGTCATCTGACAAGAGCATCTGCAATCTGCCTGAGAAAACTGGACCTTCTCTTTTTAGGTCTAATGAGAAAAGCTGTATATGTGGGCTTTTGTGTATGTTCTTCTCCACAAATGACAAGATATCACTACAGTCCTAATAATGAAGTATAAATGTCTACACACATGGATCAAGTGCAAAACCCTCTGGTGTTCAGACAGGATCCAGCTGTACTGATCCTACTAGGCTGTGGCTTGGGCTCAAAGTCAAGATCAAGGCAAACTGTTTAAAAGTTAACAGCATGGGACTCTGCCTCTGTTTCCTGATTCGCACGCTCAGCTGTGACTGTAAAGGAAGCTCATCAAGCCCCTCTTTTGGATGACTTCACCTTTTGCCCTTACAACTCCTCTCTCCAGAGGAAGTACCCAGGAGATCTCACCTCTCTTAAGTACAATTACCTTATTAGCACATTTCCCCTTTTCCTCTGGGATGGGTTTGGTGGTCTTGAGCTCCTTCAGCTCCTGCTGGCAAAGCAGGAGGTCCTGCTCGAGCTGATCATACATGTACTTCTGCCGCTCCAGCTCTTCCTTGCTGGTCTGGTACAGCCGCTTCACCTCCTGAAGCTGGGCGTGCATCTCTGCATTCTGGGGTAGGGGAGGCAGGCCCCGCCATCATCCCAGAAGCCCCTGCAGCTGCACTCTCTCCTCTCCTACTCGGTCCTTTCCAGTCCCAATTTCATCCCACTGGGGGTGACCTGAGATGGACCCTAAAAGGCTCTACACAGGGACCTTCTGGGGCTTCCTTTTCGGGCAGGTGGGGAAGAAAGAGAGCTACCTTTTTATAGGCTGATTTTTTAATTAAAAATCAAAGGAAGCTGAGAGTGTCATGACTCTCTGAGATCACCTTTCTACTAGGCACCTCTTTATACCCCTCACCAAGGACTGTACCATAGAACTCCTACGATGCTCCCTCCTCCTTGGTACTACTGCTCTCACAGAAGATTCCATCTGGCTACATCTCCCTCACCTGGAGCTTCTTTTACCTTCTCACTGCTCTCCTGGAAGGAGGCCACGACGTCCTTGAGGCGCTGCACCTCCGCCTCATGGTACCGCAGGTCCCCGCACAGCTGTCGCTGCACTTCCAGCAGCTTATCCTTCTCGCACGTGATGTGCTGGTACTGGAGCTGCAGCTTCTGTAGCCGGCACAGTAACTCCTGCGGTGGAGGGGGCTGTGGGCAGTACCTCTGGGGTCATCAACCCGCTCGCTCTTCTGCCTGAGTCACTCTCGGACACGGACAGTCTAAGGCCTGCCTTCTCCCTGCCCCTCGCTGACCGGCTGTCCTCTCGTCCGGCACAGTGCCCGGGGGTGGCCGGAGGCCCCTACCAGAGGCGCTGCACGGCTGGCAGCCGCCCTTAGTTAAACTCCGCTCTGGGCCACCTTCCCCAAAACCTCTTAGCACCTCGGTTGCCCCTCACCTCCTTTTGTTGTTACCTTCTCATTTGGGCTTTCTACGACTGTGGATTTCAAGACTTTGAGCTGCCGGAGCTCAGACTGAAGTTGTAGTTGCACCTTCAAGAGCTCATTCTGCTCATCCTGGCTAGCATCATACTTTTGCTGCAGGGCACAGAGTCTGGTCTTCAGCTCCTCGTTCTGTGGTGGGAGGATGTGGGTAGAACAGTTACTCTCAAGAAACAGCAGACCCCTCTACAGACCAGTTTGGGTCCTTTCCAGACGTAGACATCTTGAGGAGCTCCCACAGGTCTACGGTTGGGTTTCTTCGCTGAGGCAGACACTCAGTAATGACTACCATCTCTAGAATGCAATGCTACGTGACTTCTCCAACTGGTCTCCAGTAGACTGTACCCTTGGTCGCAGGGCAAGAGTCAGCACAGCACAACCTTGCTCTGCGTTCCTCCTTCCCCAACGCAGCAACTCCATGGAGGCCCGTCTGCCCTCCCCAAATGCCCTTCCCCTGGCAGTGTTTACCTGGGTGACATTGTGGGAAGTCTGAAACCGAAGCACCTCATTCTGTGCACACTTGAGCTCCCTCTGCAGCCGCCTCTGCTCCTCCTCACTGGTCTGACGATGATGCTGTAGTTCTTGCAGCTCACAACACAACTCCTTACACTGGGCAGGAGATGGAACAGAAAGGCCGACTGAGGATAAGTGCCACATGCACTTCGAGAATAGGCTTGGCGGGGGCGGGGGGGCAGGGATAGGCTTGGAAAGAAGATGACATTCCTTTCATTGGAATATTTACACCAGGCAAGCAAGCGAGACCCCAGAGTACTACCTCCTGCCATAGTGCATGCCCCCTGTGTCTAAGGAGATGTTTCTACCATGGGCCAGGAAAGGGTAAAGGAGAGACAGCGAAGGTGCCTGCCTTCCCCTACCTTGTTCTGCATGTCATGCATCTGCTCTTCAGCTCCCAGTAGCTGTTGTCGCAACAACTGGGTTTCAGGATCAGGTTCCAGAAAATCCATTTCTGAAGTCTGAGACTCTGCTGACATCATATCCTTTAGCATTTGGGACTCCAGCCACTTTTCTGTTGCTCTTCGTGTCCTGTGATCCAGAACCCCAGAGCCATGTTTGGGTAAGTGCTCTGCCTGGCATCACCTGCTAAGTGTGCTTGGTCCTGATGTCTTTATTTTAGGCCAAGATGGGAAAGAGCCTTCTACTGTAGTTTATCTCCTAAATAAACATGCTGAGAAGGTGAAGAAAAAGTCCCAGCACCTCAATCAAGGCATGTTTGGCTCTGGGAGACCTAAGCATGCTAGTCTAGTTGGGCTCAAGGCTGGGCCTTATGTCAAGCCAGCTCTAATCTGGAGGCCCTACACCATTAGACTGAATCCATTCTGTGTAGACAACAAAGGAATCACTTCTGATCAACTCTAGGGCAGAGCAAACCAGACCCCAATCCCTAGAATGGAAGAAAACTAAATTTTAAAACCCCAGTCCTGAGACAGCTGGATCTCCATGCCTGCTTCTAGGCGGCATCCATACCCTGTGAAGAACTGGCTGTCTAGGAGCAGAGGGACATTCATTAGCCTGCATTTGCCTTCACTGAGTCTACTCAAGAGAAAAGCCCAAAGCAGAGCCCTGCAGAGCCCCCTAGCCTGCTAGCTGTACCTCTCACTCTCCAGATCCGCAAGCTGCCCTGTGAGGCTGCTGTTACTCTCCTGCAGGGCCCGGTACTCCTCGTTCAGGAAGTGGCAGCGTTCCCGCAGTTGCTGCAACTCTTCTACAAAGGGCAAATGGAGACATGTGAGATCCTAGGGGAGAAGCACTGGTAATCAGCCCCTACTTTTCCTGCCTAGAAATCAGATAGCAGAAGGCCGAATAGCTTCTTTTTTTCTAAAGACAGAAGAGACACCACATGCGGCAGCTTAGAAGACAAGGCCCCCCAAATTCCACACTGCTATGTGTATTGGTCCTCTTTCAGGTAGCTGCCCTTCTTTTCATCTGCCCAGAAGCTCTACCCTCTGTGCCCATCTTCAAAACCCCAACCAAGGCAGAGTCTTGAGATTTTAGGAGCTCGTGAAGGTTTTAATTGAGTTTCTGGGTTATTGTATTTCAAGTTTCCATTGAACTGTTTATGATTACCTTCCTATTACTCTTTTAGTACAAGAGCTGAGGAATGTGAACTGCCAGATGTCACACCGCTAGTCCTGGCCTTTCAGAGACAACTCCGGCATCCTGAACGTCCTTTTACTTACTTATCACCACACCAAATACACTGGCCAGCATGTGGTCAAGAATTCTTTCTAATGATCTTTTATCTGCTGAAAGAAGAGCCCATCCCAACCAGACCCACATACCATCTTCAATCACCAGCAGAGATCTCGTTGAAATGCCCCAGCACATGTTCCTAAGTACCAGGTACCAGTACTTTTTAAAGCTGCAATCATGGGCGCCTGGGTGGTTCAGTCAGTTAAGCATCTGCCTTTGGCTCAGGTCATGATCCCGGGGTCCTGGGATCAAGTCCCACATCGGGCTCCCTGCTCAGCATGGAGTCTGCTTGTCCCTCTCCCTCTGCCCCTCCCCTTGCTTGTTCTCTCTCTAATAAATAAATAAAATTTTTTCCAAAAAAATAAAGCTGCAATCATATAAACACCCCTATCTATCTTGTTTCTTCCTGATTAAGAATTATTTCTCTTAGGGGTGCCTGTGGCTCAGTCGGTTAAGTGCCTGCCTTTGGCTCAGGTCATGATCCCGGGGTCCTGGGATTAAGTCCCGCATCGGGCTCCTTGCTCAGCAGGGAGTCTACTTCTCCCTCTCCCTCTGCCCCTCCCCCTGCTGTGCTCTCTCTCTCAAATAAATAAAATCTTTAGAAGAAAAAAAAAAAAAGAATTATTTCTCCTAGAATACCAATTCTACTGATATTTAAAGAACGTTAATTTACTCCAGTTAGAACACAAGGCTTATCTGCTGTAAGATTCAACACCCTGAAATTCACATCTAATGTTCCTTCTTTATTCCAATCAAAAGCCCTTGGAATACTGCAGATTATCATGGAAGGAAGGAAGGAAACTATCTTTAATACAAGCCAACCATGTGCTAAGCATTAGACTTGATGGTTTCAGCCTCACATTCAATTAGTCTGTGAGTACTTCAACATACTAGGCATTTCATTTAATCCCAAAAATAGCCTTGTAAGGTTTTCTTTCTCTCTTTTTTTTAAATAAACTTTTAATTTTACAATAGTTTTAGATTCACAGAAAAGTTACAAAGATGGTGCAAAATTCCCCAGGAGAGCTTTCACCTCGTTTCCCCTATTGTTAACATCTTACCATGGGTACATTTGTCACAACTCAGGAATCAACATTCATAAATTACTGTTAAATAAACTGAACATTTTATTCAGATTTCTCTCCATTTTCCCTAAGGTCCCTTCCTGTTCCAGGATCCCCTCTGCCTGTAAAGTTTTTTGTGTTTTTTTTTTTAAGATTTTATTTGTTTGACAGAGAGAGACACAGCGAGAGAGGGAACACAAGCAGGGGGAGTGGGAGAAGGAGAAGCAGGCTTCCCGCGGAGCAGGGAGCCTGATGCGGGGCTCGATCCCAGGACCTTGGGATCATGACCTGAGCCGAAGGCAGACGCTTAACGACTGAGCCACCCAGGTGCCCCTGGCTGTAAAGTTTTATTAACCAATTTTTACAGATACAGAAACTAAGGTTCAGAGAGATAATAACCAGGCCAAGTTCATCCCACTAATTAGCAGAACTGAGATTCTGAACTCAGGTCTGTTTAACTTCGACCCAAGCTCTCCCACTGTGCTGGCCTCGCTCTCCTGGCACCACCAGTCCAAAGGCTCTTCTGAGAAGCTTGTTACAGCTGGGAAACTTGCAGTTCTTTGATTCCTTGTTGACTGTCTCTGCTTGACCTGGCCTAATACAGGGCCTCCCATTATACCCAGATCATAAATCTAGCCTCAAAATAAAGGCATACTCTCTGATGTCATGAATCCTAGCAACTAGCTGGGAGACTCGTTGTCTAAAAGCAGAGCTCTAAGCTTTTTAGTACCTCATGTATTACTGGAAATAACCTCTCTTCCTCTCCAGCTATCTTGTGCTCTGATTTGTTGCCCCCTAAAGCTTCTACGCTGGAGAGGACTCAAGGAGCCTAAGCATTAGCATCCTGGGACCTGGGAGCAGGACTAGAGGCCCCCCCATAATGCGGGCCAGGCAAACTGCCATGCCAGAGCAGCAGGTAGTTTCCCAAGGTGACCAGCCCCTTATCCTCCCATCCTGGCACTGGAGACTTTCTTAGGAAGGGCTCTCCCATATGGCTCTCTGAGGAAGAATTCTCAAGGTACATCTCCACTGTGCTATTTCTTATACCACCACTGACCGGTTATGTGACATCTGGATAAGTTTTTCTCCCTTCTAGTCTTGAATTCAACCTGGAGGTTTTTTCTAGAGGTTCCCAGTTCATGATCTAAGACCATCTTCCACCATCTTTTTGGATACTAACTCCCTCTGCTTGGCTTTACTGACAGACCAGGAAAAAGGCTTGCCCTCTCGTACCTTGCATCTCAGAGTAATCTGAAAGATTTAAACTATTGGATGGATCAGAGCTCTTCATTTCCATTTCTGCACGGAGGGAAGTGATCTCCATTTCATACTCTCCCCGGATGCGCTCCATGTCATCAAGCTCATTCTGCATCCGGCAGAGATCGTCCTGCAGGGATGCTATGTCACTCTCATGCTCAGTCGCGGAGTCCTCTGCTGCTTGCCGCAGATTCTGGATCTCAGTCTGGGCCAAGTGCAACTCCTGTTCTATTTCCTTAAGTTCCCTTTCTTTCTCTCGCTCCAACAGGGAAATCTCCTCTCGTAGAGACCGCAGCTCACCTGCAAACCCCAGAGGTTGGGATGGTCAAGAGGATAAGTGAACTCATCTACCATGTTCTAGAGGCAGAAAGTTAAAGGCAGATTTATGTCTTATCTGGAAACTACTGGCAATCTAGTCTCTACCCCATCAGCGAAGTATAGCTTCATCGGCTATGGGATAAAAGGAGTACCTAAGAAGGGAATGGAGTGACTCCATGTAGTAAGTAAGGTGCAGTAGAAAGGCAGATTCTGGGCGCCTGGGTGGCTCAGTTGGTTAAGCAACTGCTTGCGGCTCGGGTCATGATCCTGGAGTCCAGGGATCGAGTCCCGCATGGGGCTTCCTGCTCAGCGGGGAGTCTGCTTCTCCCTCTGACCCTACCCCCCTCATGCTTTATCTCATTCTCTCTCTCTCAAATAAATAAATAAAATCTTTTAAAAAATTAAAAAAAAAAAAAGAAAGATTCTGGCACCAAAGCAACACCTTGGGCTACTACAAACAAAAAGTATTAAGTGCTTCTACGCTGAAGACCAAAAACTAATTTACAGTATTTTACTGATGCACCGAGTTTTTCCAAAAATTCCCTGACTAAAAAAATTTACACACACTATTCTCATCTATTTAGTCTGGAAGCTTAGAAATTACAGAGCCTCGCAGGTAAGAGCTTCACAGGTAAGTACTGGCCCCTAACGTGTATTTAGAGTTCACTGCTGAAATTCAAATGTGGGCTCATCACATGGTAACCAAACATGGTTATGTTCTGGATGTCAGGGTTCAAATTTCCCTTAGGTTCCCCTCTAAGGTCTGGCCCTAAAAAATGGCCTTCTCAGATCCACTGGAGAAGGGAGGAAGCTCTTCCTCAGCCAAGCAAGCTCTCGATGTGGAGCACAAAGGGCCAGGGCACGCCCAGGATGGAGAGGCGGGGCTTGCAGGCCCCAGGGGGAGGGGCTTATCCGAAAACTGGGCGGGGCGGACCCTGGCCGGGACTTGGGAGGACTGGACCCGGATTCCGAAGACCTAGTGCCGGTTGACAGGGGGCGTGGGTCGGTCGGGGAGAAGCGGAGGGCCCGGCAGTTGAGCTGTGGGACAGAGAAGTAGGTTCTTACTCACTGGTTATGGCCTCCATCTCGTCGGCCCCCCTGCAAGCGGTCTCCCTGGGGGGCCCCCCCGCCGCCGGCCGGTCCCGGCCCCCGCGGGGCTGTGGCGGCCGGAACGGCCTCTCAACACCAGCTACCTCTGAGGTCGCGCGCGCCCCCTCTTGGCGGAAACGGGCAACGCGCGTGCGCAAGGACGGTCTCTATTTCCTCCCGCGGGGTGGCGCTTGGGCGTCCTCACCAGACCGCAGTCCCTAGTTGAGAGCTCATGCTCAGAAACAACCCTAGTGAGTAAGGAGTCGCTCCAGAACTTCTGTTTCCCCAAGTAGTTGCCTACCTGCCTCTCTACTGACTTCCCTCCTCCTTGTAAGGGAGTATGTCCCTTCTCCAAGCAAAGGTCTTTTTCGGCTCTACTGGATTGTTTCCTTCATCATACAAACGTGATCTAGTGTAGGGAGTCCTATCTCAAGCCCGCCCCCCCCCAACTCTCCCTTGACTTCATTCCCTTTCCCCTTATTTCTCTGCTTCTCTTCAAAACATGACTACTGTAATTATCTGTACTCACCTTCTCTATTTCACCTCCCCTTTCTCCTTAATCCCAATCTAATCAGGCTTCTGTCTTCACCAAAGTATCTCCGAGCCCTCCATCTTGCCAAATCCAATGGCCATTTATTTGATTTAGCAACTTTTGAATCTCTTTGAAACACTTTCTGCTCTTGGCCGTCAGGGCATCAAAGGCTTCTGCTGTTCCTCCTACCTCAGTCTCTTTTGTTCATATCTCCTCTACTGGACTTTTATTTTTTTTTAAAGATTTTATTTATTTATTTATTCATGAGAGACAGAGAGAGAGAGAGAGAGAAGCAGAGGGAGAAGCAGGCTCCCAAGGAGCAGGGAGCCCGATGCGGGACTCGATCCCAGGACCCTGGGATCATGACCCGAGCCGAAGGCAGACGCTTAACCATCTGAGCCACCCAGGCGCCCATCCTCTATTGGACTTTTAAATACTGGAGTATCCCTGGGACAGGGCCTTTCCTCTTCTTCCTGTCTCTCCCTGTGATTTCATGGTGATCTCTCAGGGATTCAAATGCCATCTATATGCTAACGACTCCCAAATTTATATCTCCAGCCTTGATTTCTCCCCTTGTTCTAGATTCATATATCCAACTGCCCCCTTATAACATACTAATTTATTTAGATGTCATTAGTGACTTCAAACTCAACATGTAAAAACATGTCTCCAATGGTTCCCTTAGCCCTTGTTCTTTGCTAAGTCTTCCCCATCCCAATAAATGACAGCACTGTCCATCCAGTTTCTCAAGGCAAATTTATCTTCCATATCTCTCCTATTCCCACCCCACCCCACCCTCCACCCTATCCAATTCATCAGAAGTCCTGAGGTCTCCACCTTCAATAGAAGACCCTCCCATGTCTTTTTACTAAGAATAAAAACCAAACCTCCCAGCTGGCCTATAAGGCCCTTTGTAATCTGGCCTCAGCCTGCCTCTCAGAACTCTCTTGGGGCGCCTGAGTGGCTCAGTCGTTAAGTGTCTGCCTTTGGCTCAGGTCATGATCCCAGGGTCCTGGGATCCAGCCCCGCATTGGGCTCCCTGCTCCGTGGGAAGCCTGCTTCTCCCTCTCCCACTCCCTCTGCTTGTGTTCCCTCTTTCGCTGTATCTCTCTCTGTCAAATAAATAAATAAAATCTTAAAAAAAAAAAAAAAACTCTCTTACCAGGGGCCTCCACATGCACTCTGCTCCAGCCACAATGGCTTTTGTTCTGCAAACACATGAAGCTCATTCCTGCCTCTGAGCTTTTGCAGTTGCTATTCCTTCTGCCTGGTATGCTCTTCCCTCAGATCTTTCTCTTTATTCAAGCCTTAGCTCAAATATCATCTTCTCAAAGAGGACTTTTCTAACTGCCCCATCAAAAAAAGTTCTCATCTCACCCCATCTCTCTATTTCATATTGTTACATTGTCTTCATAGCGTTTATTGCCACCTGGACTTATGTCGTTTATTTTCTGCCTCTCCCCATTACAATGTACTCTTCATTAGGGCAGGGATCTGGTTTGTCTTGTTCATAGCTTGTCCTCCGAGTATATAGGTACTCAATAAATGAATGATAAACAAATAAATTAGCACCATTTTACAGATAAGGAACTGAGTCTCAGAAAGATAAAAGTGACTTGCCGAAGACCCTAAAGCTTGTTATGTGGCAGAGTTGGGCCCAGAACCTAGGTGATCCGAGACTAGTGCTCACACTGTTTTCCCAGATACAACACATCTCCAGCCATTTCTCTCCTTCACCCTCTTCCCATTCATTGTCTACTTCTCCTGCATCTACCTAGGCTTTTATCTTTCCCTTCTCTTTTCCTCCCCTTCCTCCACCTTTGCTTCTTCCTCTCCAGGCCTGCTTCCTGGCCTTCCTTTTTTCTCCATTTATATTTTCCATTTGGTTTGATCTCAGTTCTCTCTGGAGAGCCCCTGCGGTTTTCTAGGGCAGCTCCCCTAAACCTTCTGGAAGTCCATGGAAGTAACAAAAGCTGCCTCTTTTTTTGGTGGTGCCATGGAATGTGGGACACCTGCCTTGCTGCTTTCCAGAGACAAAGGGGTGTGGGCGTTAGAATAAAGGGATTTGGGGCCACAAGCTCAGGCCTAGGAAGCAAGAGAAACGTTCTCATCTGCTTCCCTTAAAAGAGCAGAGTCCCCTTCAGTCACTTCTCACTGGCACATTGCTCTTCCCCTGGTGCCCTTGTAGGGACAGGGAAAAGCAGTCTGGTTATAGGTATTCAGCCCTGATTACCTGCCCCCCTGACCTGGAGAACAAAGGGAAAAGGATACAGGTGTGAAGGGAGGAAGCTGGAGGAGAGAAAAGGGAGAGTGTCAGCCAGAGAGAGAAGATGTGAAATGGGAGGGCAAGAAAGGGCAGGGGAGGGCAGAAGAGCCAGGTAGAGATGCAAAGAACAGATATTAGGTAAAGAAGAGAATGGAGAGAGAAGGAGAAAAGGGTGAGAATAGTAAGGGGGAAATGAGGAGAAAGTACTGAATTAGTTTATATTTGTCTGCTATGCTTCAGCCAAACCCTCAGGACAAAAGGACTTGGATGGCCACCTTCCCTCCAGTCCCAGTGTTGGGAATTACCTTGGAGCTGCTGGATCTGCTTGGTGAACACCTCTGCCTGCTGGGCGCTGGCCAGCCGTTCATCCTCCAGGAGCCCTGCAGTGAGAGGGGGAGCAGGCATGAGCCTGGGATCCAGGGAGCCCAGGCCCTCTGGCCCCCTCCCGGGCACTCACCCTGAAGCTCCAGGGAGTCATCCTCATGCTGCCCTGCCAGCTCCCGGGTCTCCTCCAGCTCTGCCACCAGCTGGAGCACCTGAGCCCTCAGCTCTTCCAGCTCTGTCTCAGTGAGGCTCAGGCCCCGGTGCTTGCTGACAGACAGGGAGCTCACATTGCCACCTTTCTGCACTTGCTCTTCCTCTTCTTCCACCTCTTCTTCCTCCTCTTCCTCTTCCTCCTCATAGAGAGCTGGGAGTAACACTTCCCCTAGAAGAGAAACCCATCCCCCCAGGGGCTCAGAGTCAACTTCCTTTCCAGAGTCCTTCAAGGGCCCTCAAGCTCATGGTCCCAGGGCAGGGATGGTATAATAGTGCCACCTGGTGTCCCCCAAGGAGTCCCTGGGCAGGACCTGCACTCATGATTCGTCCTCAGGTGTAAGGTCTCCCATTCCCCTCCCAGGCCCTTTCTGGACCAGGATTGTACCAGGTGGCCTCCTAGTAACTGCCTTCGGGCAAACTGAGCAGCTGGGTGCTAGTCAGCCATGTGAGCTTACACAGGGATACCTGCTTCTTCCAGTCCTGGTGGTCCCTGCGTTGGGGACAAGTACCCAAGAAAGGATTCAGACGCTGGGCGTGTCTTTAGGCTGAATGGGGCAAGAGTTACAGTTGGGGGTTTGTCCAAAGTTAAAAAGTTATCCAGGTGGCTTGGGAGAAATTAGCTTTTCCATAATGAGAAAGGGTTGCCTATCAACAGTTAGAGAAAGAAAACATCTGAATGAAATGATTCTAAAATGTTTTACCGGACAAACACTGGGGCCCTTTCAAATGTATTCTATCACATAGCCTTTTTGAAATTTTCTGCAAGGCCCACCTTCCTTTTCTCTGTGGAGTGTCAGGAGGCCTCTCCCCTCCCCAAGTGTTATAAGGCCCCTCCTCCCATGCTGACCATAGGGCAATTTTCAGGTTTCAAGTCCCAGGTTGTACTTGTGTGTAAAAGAAAGCCTACCATTTTAATGCATTAAGAAACTGGGGTGTACTGGTCCCCAGCCTCTGGTTGGTGAGTACCCCCTCCTTTGCTGCAATGCAGTTCCTTGAAATAGTGACATTTTGTCAGGATACTGATTACTTGCTTTGTTTTACAATTCTGAATCCCTGGTCTCACAACAGCAGCCTAAGGTTCATCTGGGACCCCTTGTGTCCTCTGTCCCCCATAGGGGAGCAGGGTTGCCCACACAGTGTGCATTGGGACCTGGGGACACTTCACAGGAAGTCCTGAGAAGCGGACAGGCATCCTTCCAGGGGCCTGGTGTTGGCAGCAACTGCCAAGTCACCTGGTGCGGTGGGGATACGTGGGTTTTGCAAGGTTGGTCTCACGTGCCCCCTCCCAGGCAATTCTTTCAGGCCAGCCACAAGGCTTACATTCAAAGGTGGTGGTGGTGGCATCAGAAAGAGAAGGCTCCCTTCCCTGCTTTTCAAAAATGTGAGACAGCTTGGGATCTGGGTCGGGTGGCAGTGAGAACAAACCCCCTGCTGAAAGCCTGCTTCAAAGCTCTGTCCAACGAGGCCTCTCTCTCTGTCTGGCAGCTCCCCCTGGGACACACAACCTGGTTCGCTGGTGATTAGGGCCCCAAAGGGATGTACCCAGAACCTCCCTCAAAGCCAGAGCCCTGAGGAGGGGTAGAACTCAGACCTGAAGGGTAGAGGGGGCTCAGGTGAGCTAGAGGAAGGGCTCTGTCCTGGCTGGGCGTTCTGGGGACCGGATGGGGTAAGGAGGAGGCAAGGGAAATTGGCTGAGGGGACAGAAAGCAAGCTTTTTTGGAAAACTCACCCTCCATAGCTTGCATCCCCCGCCGCTCCAGGGACCCCCAGCGTTGGCCTTTCTTCCTTTCACAACCCTCAGAGGCCTCATAGGAGCCTAAAGTGGTCACTGTGGGTCCTGTGAGCAGGGAGAGAGGAGGCACGGTGGGCTGCTAGGGGCCTGGGGGCTAGGGTGCACGGGAGAGAGAAGGGGACGTGCCTTCCAGCCCTCTGGAGCCCTGGAGTTTTTAATCCCGGTGGAAGTGCTTGGCTCACTCTGCCCAGGCTGCGACTCTCCTCCCGCAGCCGCCCCTCGAGCTGGGCCTGCGGGGACCCCGCCCTGTGCTGCCCAAGCTCCTCGGCATCCCCAGCTCCAGGCTCCTCTCCCAGCACGGACAGAAAGGGTGTGTGTCTCTTTAGCCGGGAGGGGACAGGGAGGAGACGGGCAAGGATGGAAGCGAGGGCGGGAGCCAGGGAAGATGAGGCTGAAAGGGTGAGGTGCGTGGAAGGGGAAAGGGGTGATTCGGGGAGGAGGGGGCGTGTGGCAAGGGGTTCTGGGCCGGAGCTGCTCCCCTCCCCTCCCTTCTCTCCCTGGACCTCGTCCACCCCACCCTCGCCCTGCGCTCGAAGCCTTCGAGCCGAAGTGCGCGCAGGGTCTGGGGCCCCCAGGGCTGGACAGACGAGGTGGAGAGGGTTCGGGGCGAGGGACGGCCAGGGGAGGATGCGACCGGTGTGGGGAAGACCCAGCCGGGAAAGATGGAGTCCGGGCCCGGGCTGGGGGGCGGGATGGAGGGAGGAAGACGGGACGGAAAGGTGGGAGCGGCGGAAGGAGGGAGGGAGAACGAGGGGGTCTGGAGGGAGGAGAGATGAAGAAGAGGAAGGAGTGGCGGTGGAGAGGTGAGGGAGGGGCGGCTCTGACCTGGGCCCGGGCAGCTCCAGCCCGCGGCGCCCGCGCCGGCCCCGGCGCCCGCCTCCATGGCCGCTCGCGCCGCCGCCGCCGCCGCTCGGAGCAGACGCCGCAGCCGCCAGGCCGGGGACCCGGAGCCGGGTGCGCAGGGGGAAGGAGGGCGGGCCGAGGGGGCGGGGCCTGGCCCGGCCACCTGACGCCGCCCCCGCCCGGAAGCCCTCCCTCCACCGGGCTCCGGGACCCGGTGGCGGCGAGCGGGCGCGGAGAGGCAGAGGGAGCGCGTCCCTCGACACACCCCACGACCCGGGCGTGGGAGAGGGGGAGAGGACGGGAGCCACTCGGGGCATGAGGTTGCCCCAGGAGTGGCCACAAGATCCCCTGGTTCTGGCGAAGGGTCCTGCCCAGAGTGGGCTGCGCGGGGGGACCCCCGGGGCCATGTGTCAACGTCCTGTCCCGCGCAGCGATGAGGGAGAAAGGGGACAAAGCTGGACGAATCCTCCGATCCTGTTTCCTCCAAACTCGCAGACACACGCCCACTGAGCAGGGCCCGAGTCCCCCACCTCCGCAGGCAGCTAGGACCTCCAGCCTCCGGCCCCGTTCCTGCGCGGTGGCCTCTTGCGTCCCAGGACTGCGTGAAGGCAGGAGAAGGAAAGCCAAGGCGGAGATACGTGAACTGCAGGGCCCTGATCTCTACTTTCCTAGCGCCCCCACCAAGCCAGAACCAGGGACCGTCTCAGGAGGGCCGCTCCTTGGCCCCACACAGCCCTCGCTGCCTGAAGACCGCTTCTCTCCACCACTGTCCCTTCCCACCTGGCCCCACACCCTCTGAGCTTCGAGCCACGACCACTACCCACCGTGCCTCGGTAGCCTGTTCGGAGTGGGCACTACTGATTTTCACTCTCGCACGAGGGAGATGTGGAAACCCAGAGGACTTATTTCACTTACTCCTTGAAGGAACATCTACCACGGGGTGCCGGATCTTGAGGAGGCAATTGTTCTCACATCTCTCCAGGTCTGAGCCAGGAAAGAAGTGGGTACACTTGGGAACCAGGCAGTCCCAACACACCCAGGAAAGTGTTAGGAGATTCTTGAGCCAGGGACACACACCAGTCCCTTTTCTTGCATATCCACTCACTAGGTTATGGACGTACATTGTCTGTGTTCACCCCCACAGGCTTCCAGGTTCACAAGCCCTCCATATTCTTCAGGACAGAGGCGCCTTCTTTGCCTGGACATCCCTACTTATTCTTCAACCCTCTGTTGGGAGTCACCTCTAGCAGCCTTCCCTGATGCCCACCCTTAGACCAGTAGAAGCCTGCTGTGCTCCACCCTTCCTCCTTCCCTCTTAGGGCAGTGCCTGTCACTTTCAGATGTCAAGGTCAGGTTTTTACTCTTGTGTCTGCCCAAATTCCGGAAGATTGGGAAGTACCTTAGTCATTTTTGTATCTCCAGCATCTGACAAAGTATCCGACACAATAAATGAGAAAGGTAAATCTCTCAACTGCACAGTTAATGCTGTCTTATCATTCAATATATGATTTCACATAGAGTTAAATGTTGCCTACTGAGTATAATGTTGCCCTGTAAGTCTTTCCCTTCCCCCTACCTCCTCTTTTTTTCTCCCTCTCAAACCCCAAGCCTGGTGCTCTGAGAGATGAGGAGCACAGATCAAGGAGGTTTCATTTGCTCCCCAGAGAACAGGATTACACCTCAGATCCTGTGGTCAAGGTGATCCAGTTGTGGGGAAAGGCTGTTGAACAAGCCCACGAAGACCCCATTCAGAGTCTGCTGCAGATATCAGGCCTGTCCAGACATGGCTGGCATGGGGGTGGCAAGGTGTCAAGATGGGGGCATAGAGCTCTGGAGACTGATATGCTGGAAGGTTGGAAGCCCAATGGCTATTTGCTCTGCCCAACCACAGCTCCGGCTAGTCCTGGCTCAGCCAGCAAGTTCAGTTGTTAACATTTGACCTTGACTGCTGACTTCTTGGTTCATGGAGGGAGGGGCAGGAGAGGAAGTTGTCAACTGTGACCTCCAGTGAGCCAGGCTCTCCTCAGGGAGTTCTGATCCTGAGTATTAGGACTAATCTCTCCTTGGCTCCTGGGGTGCAGGTCACCACTCACCCTTGATTTGGGGAGCATTCAGGAGACACCTGAACCAGTCTATTTTCAGGACCCAAATTTGGGCAAATCCTGGCCAGATCAGTACTGGGTTGAGGGTGGAGGTGAAGTTAGGAGGCAGGAGGTAAGGGCTTAGCAGGCATGGGGGGAAGTGAACTGTGGTCCAGGGATGCATATCTGAAGGGCCAGGAGTGGTGGGGATGCCAGCCAGGTAATCAGCTTAGGGGGATGATCTGAATTAATCCTTGTAATCCCTGGACTCTGGACTCAGCCTCCCCCTAATCCCATCCCAACAGATCATCCTCTCTGAGGATTGATGCAGCCTTTTATCCCCCTTTACCTTTATTTCTGAAATCCAACAACTGTTCATTTTTGCCACATTTGATTCAGAGATAACCCTTCTATTTATGGTTTTGCAATTTCACTTCATACTTTTGTATCCACAAACAACAAAATATTGATTTGTGTATTTAAAAAAATCTATCTGGGGGCTCCTGTTTGTCTCAGGTGGTAGAGCATATGACCCTCGATCTCTGGGTCCTGAGTTTGAGCCCCACACTGAGCATAGAGAGAACTTAAAAATAAAAATTCTGCAAACTTTCTTCTTAACATTTTTTTTTAACATTTATCCATGTTTCATTTAGCTCCAATTAATGAATTTTAACTGCTGAATATTATTTCAATATTTGAATATACCACAATTTATTTATCCATTCTTCTGCTAATAGGCATTTAGGCTGTTTCCAGTTTTCTATGTTAGAAAACAATGCCTTAGAGGTGCCTGGGTGGCTCAGTTGGTTAAGCGTCTGACTGTTGATTTCAGCTCAGGTCATGATCTCAGAGTTTCTGGAGATTGGCCTGTATGGGCTCCTGCTCGGCGCTCGGTGGGGAGTCTGCTTCTCTCCTTCTCCCTCTGCCCCTCCCCTGGCCCCACTTGCCGGTGCTCTCTCTCTCTCAAATAAACAACTAACTAACTAACTAACTAACTAAATAAATAAATAAATAAATAAATAAATAAAAAGAAAACAACGCTTTAGTGGTTAGTGCTGTGCATGTGTCTTGGGTATATATGTAAACACTTCTCTAAGGTAGATACCGAGAAGTAGAATTTCTGGGTCATAGTATCTGTGCATCTTAAAACTTTACTGATTATTGCCAAATTGCTCTACAAAGCAGTTGGACCCATTTATGTTGCACTAACAGTGGCTTTCAGTGCTCATTGAGGTTCACCAACATATTTCTAAATTTCTCTGCTCACCATTCCTTCTTGCATTTCACTCCTTGCTTCTTATTTGTTCCCTTTTTATGAAGTATATCTTTTAGCAGCATTTCAGTGAAAGTCTTTGGTGAACATTCTCAAATGTCTTTATTTCATATAATTTAAATAGAAATTTAATGGGTATAGAATTTTAGGTTGACAGTTTTCTCTTGGCCTCTGGAAGATATTCTATTTGTTTTTCTGCAATCTTTTGTTGCTAATGCTGTCTTCTGCTTTCACTAGTGTCTTTTAACTATTCGTTCGTATTTCATATCTCATCACTTTCCCCTATCCATATTTTGAATGACTTCACCAGCTCTGTCTTCCAATTCACTAATTCTCTTATCAGCTGGGTCTAGTCTACTGCTTAATGGGTCATTGAGTCTATTGCAATGGTATGTCTTTCCCTATGTTTTATTTTTTTCCCTCAGTAAGGTGTTTTTTTATATAGTGCAATATTTTCATTATGGTTTATTTTCTTGTCCTTAATAGTTCTTTTTTAAATTTTATTTATTTTTGACAGAGAGAGAGTGTACACGCCTGGGAAGCAGCAGGCAGAGGGAGAGGGAGAAGCAAGCTCCTTGCTCAGCATGGGATGTGGGGCTCGATCCCAGGACCCTGGGATCATGACCTGAGCCCAAGGCAGATGCTTAACCCTCTGAGCCACCCAGGCGCCCCATTGTCTTTAATAGTTTTAAGTATACTTAATATATAGTGTTTTTCATGTTGTTTTCTTATGCACAGTTCTTGGAATGTTGATTCTCCTATTTGTTGTGTCGGCTGACTCTTCCTTATGGTGGACTGCTTCCTTGTCTAGTTTGATATTGTGAACTCTTCTTCAGTAGGTGTTTGTTTAGTGAGAGTCCCATATGCCCTGGATTATGAAACATTGCAATGGAGCTCTTTCTTTTCTTTTCTTTTTAATTTTTAAAAAAGATTTATTTATTTATTTTAGAGAGAGAGAGCATGAGCAGGGGGAGGAGCAGAGGGAGAGAGAGACAGTCCTCAAGCAGGCTCCCCACTGAGCATGGAGCTCAACGCAGGGCTCAATCCCAGGACCCTGAGATCATGACCTGAGCTGAAATCAAGAGTCAGCCACTTAACCGACCAAGCCACCCAGATGCCTCAATGACAGAGCTCTTTCTTGCTTCTGTGGGGCTATATGGTATTCCAAGTGTCCTAAACCAGGTTTAGATTTAATTTCTCTGCTTGAGGATTCAGCATCATGTAAATAGCATAAATCCAGATGGAATACAAGCATTTGTTCAGGCTTGAGACTTTCTGCTTTAATCCTCTCAAGAACTCTAAGAAATAAGCATTACTGTTCCCATTTTACCAATGGGAAAACTGAGACTCAAAATTGTAACTTTAATCCTACCTTTTGGACTTCGAATCCAGTGCATTTCATAGCTTGAGTTTTATACAAGGAGCTTGTCTTTTCTTGACCTCCGGCTCGGATCCACCCCGCAAATTGTCCTGATCATTTACTCTTCATATGAGGCCCTCTGAGAGGCTCTTTTTGCCTAACACAATGCAACCCTTTGACTTTAACCTTCTCTAGGTCAGCTCCTGATGCCAGTCCCCTCCTGCCCCATTTGGACTCAGTGGAGAAAAAATGGGTTTTTTTCTCCACTGAGTCCAAATGGGGCACATACAGGTCATTCCTATTTTTTCCAATGAGTCCAAATGGGGCATATACAGGCCATTGCTAATGGGGAGAATGACCGGCAGCTTGTCTTTAGGGTCCTTTATTCACTCACCAC